TTTTCTTTAATATAAAATAAACCGATTATAAACAAATTTACAGTATTTACATTCCTTTCGTTCAAAAAAGAAACAAATCCGAAAATCTTGAAAAAATGATAATTTATGTTTGTGAGCTTACAAAAATATATTTAATACGAAGTATTAAAAGATCAAGAAAATTATATTACTAAAACTTTAGGGCAGATTCGTTAAATTAGTTTTTTGTTACTCCTGTAAAATTACCATTTTTGGAAACGTTCCCTTTTCCAAATAACCGATTCAAATAAAGTTGTAAGAATGTTGTAATAATTGGTATTATTTGAAAATATACAGAATTTCACAAAAATTCTAAAAAAATATTTTTTAATGTTTTAACTTATTATTTAAAAATAAAACACGTATTGAAATAAAACAATTAGGTTATTACCCTAGGAAATGGCTTACATTGAACTAGAGACTGCCATAAAAAAACTTTTGCCGAAGTCCCGAAACACCTTAATATGTAAAGTTTTGTGCAGCGATTTGTGAACTATAGGTAAATATCTTTAAATTATTCTAACATGTTATTTGGGTTTTGTTTTAAGATAATTAATTGACTTCCATATATGAATGCCAATTTTAACATTTTGGTCCCAAATTTATCTTACATTTATCTTATATTTATCAATATTCATTTATTTTAATATTTATTCTATAAATATAGATTGATTATTTATTCTTGAAACTATTAATAATTTTCTAATTATTTAAAATATACTTATGTTACTGTTTTAATACTTATTACTATTCTCTCCTACCCTTTCCAAAACCAGTTATGAAATTTAATATTCCGCGAATTCATGAAGAATTGGCGTGTCAATCCCCTACGGACTAGAAGTTGCCAAAGCTGCTCGACTATGCTATTAAGGGATAATTTTGTTTTTTTTTATATTTCATTATTATTTTTATTGTTTACCACTGGTGAATGGATGTTCGTCTCTTAATAGTATATTGACAACAGTAGTTAAAGACCTATCTGTTGTTACAAATGGGTCTTTAGGCTAGTTGGTTGTTACAATGTTCCTAAAGAGACAAAGAGAAGGGCAATAGACTAGGAATGGAAAAAGCCAGAAAACTAACTTTTCTAATAGGGATTCTTGATAAGTTGCCAATATATTTAATATTTAATCAAAAGCCTTTAATTGTGTTAAGACATAAAATACTTTTGGAAAAATCGTACATGTATGATTTCCGAAATTTAACACTAAATGGGTGTTCACTGCACAGATGAACCAATGAAGAAACCGCCCCTGAACATTACCATTAAACCTCGCATTAAACATTACTCAGAATAATAGATGTGTTCAATAACATATGTTACCAAAGTTGTGTGTATCTCATTTCAAAGTTAATTACATTACCTTTTCAAAGTTGTATTACAAATTGCAATTAACTGTTTTATATAGTGTTATTTCTGGAAACAAGTGTGGTATAAAATTATTTACATCCATCTGTTATAAAAATTGTTTAGATCTCTTAATATTATTTAACTATATGGAAACTCAACTTTCAAAATACTTAACATAATATCATGTATTAAAGTAAAAAATATTTTTTTTCTTTTTCTAAAGATTAAAATGCTGAAATTTTATTTTAAAACACATTTGCGCTATAACGGCTTTATTTAGTGGGCACTGGGAAAGGCAATATTAGCAGAGCACATTGCAACCCGCTTTTCGTAATATTATTTAGATGAGAGAGCAATCTATATAATTATGTATATCATTGGTATATATCTGGTGTATATCTAAGGTGGATGAATGACATTTCAACTAACATCAAGCTAAAAACAATATTTTTATTATTCTCAATCTTATTTATTAATTTACATTTTTTAAATGTTATTGTAATACTTTTAAATTTAGTGTTACTAAATACTGATATTTTGACATCGTAAATGTTGGATAGACTTGCCTAAGGTGCATCTTTACAATTTAATAGAGATATTGCAAATTTCTACAACACCAGCCACTAATAGTGACATCATAATTAGAGTCAAATAAATTCCATGCTAAAATCAGACTTTTTTTTGGTGTCATCGGCATCAACTGCTACGGTTATTAGCCTCGTGTTCTGTGTAGGCTTTGTTACTGTTTCCCAGCGCCACTTTAGGAACAGCACTGTTAATTAGTACCCAACAGTGAATGGTCGAGTGGGGAATCCTACCAAGGCATCAGAATTTAAATAATTAAATTAAATGAAAAAATCCAGGCCAACAATGGGATTCGAATCTGGGACCCTTGGATCCACAGGCAGAGACTCTACCACTGAGCCACCCACCCCATAAAATCAGACTTATTACAAACCTGAAATTTTGACATTAGAATCCTTGTTCTTATACTTATTTCTAACCTCATTTTAATAAATATAAATTATAGTTCATCTTTTTTGTTGTCTATAATAGTACATAATATTGAAGAGGCATTAGAAATTATAATTTTAGTAGGTTTAGATGATGATGATGATGATATTAAATATTTAATATTAAAAACTTCGAATGGATATGAATGTCAGCGAGCACACCCGAAAGTTATAAAGTTGCCACTACCTGCTGCCCTTAAACATCCACAATCAAGAACAGGCACAATCTTTAATAAAGTCAGTTTTAGAACATAAACGATCTGCACATGCTTAGATGTCAAAATAAGAGGGGCACTAATAGTGACTGACCTTAAGTGAACTTGCAATAACTCTCTATTGTCATTTAGTCATTTAAATCTTTTTCCTCAAAATTTATATACATGTTCAGATTTTAATAATTTTTCACATTTTATATAATTTTGACCATGTACATGATTGTTTGTTACGGGTCAGTATCTATTTTTAATATATAAAAAAATATCCTTTATTAATTTACTTGCAATGATTACCACATTTAATTCTAAAATTAAACACTAGAGAGGGCTAATTTCAGCAGTGATGCCTCTACCTATATTTCACGCACAGTCTCTATAAAAACCAAAAAAGGGTAGGTAAAGTTTCATATATTTTTTTACACAAAAATGTCAAGCTTTATACATAACCTGATATATATTTAAAAATAATCTTAAAATATAAAGAAAAGTCAGTTGACTATAACTAATAATGTTTATAAATGAAAACAAAACAAATATTACAACAATTCAAATATTCATTAATAGTTGTAGTGCTTGCAAACAGCATGATATTGATAATACATACACTTAATACAAACCCAAATAAAAAAATAGTGATATTGGTGCTTGCACAAAGTTTTGAACTGAACTTACAAATGATAAAATTATTGGAAAAAGTGAAAACCCTATTTAAATTACCACAAGCCGCCACTGATCAGTACCTAACAAATAAAAATACCTATGTGTAAGTTAATAATAACATAAAATACATAGTAAAGTTATACCGGGTGTTCAAATTAAAGTGTTACAGCTAAATACCGCCTTTTATAAAAATAACGTTTCAGACGAAAGTTTTATAATTTTGTGGGGAAAAAAAATTTGGCTATAATCGTTTTTTATAGCTAACCATAATATGGCCAACTTTTTTTTTCGCCCAGCAAAATTTTCAAGTAGCTGTTACTCAAAAAGTAAAAGTCCAATAAAAAAAATATGTCCATCAAAAGTTTCTTGTTTTTTTATGTACTTTAAGAATATGTAAGAAAAAAAATAGGATTCCCATTTAAGAAAACAAAGTCTACCTGGATATGGCCATATTATGGTCAGCTATAAAAAAATGAATTTAGCCAAAATGTTTCCCCCAAAAAACTATCAAAACTTTTGTCTGAAACTTTTTTTCTAAAATGCATATCTTCGGCGGTATTTAACTGTAACACTTTAATTTGAACACCCAGTATAAGTAAATGTAATTAATTTTATAAAAAAAAAGATAAAAGAATTTTTGGTAAATATCTAATTTGACCTCTTTTCAATTATGAAAAAACTAAGCATAGGTACATACCTACTTGAAGGTAAAGAAAAAACCTAAGTTACATAATATCTTGTGCAAATAAATAAAAATGACACAATTCATTTTTTTAAATAAAAATTAGCCATTTGTTTTAAATTACTGTTAATAATTATACAGGAAAGAGAGTGTGCTAGATGGGTAAAACAATGTCAATAGTTTTAATATTATTATAATTACAATAAGGAGAATTAGCCCTTTTCGCTTATGAAAAAGCCGAGGAAAAAGCTAAATGTACCTACTTGTAGGTATCACTATTGTAAACAAAAAATCTTAGTGCCGTATCTTCTGAAAATTAATGATAATGACAATTAATTTTTAAAATGAAAATATTTCACAAATTATCTCAAAGCTCAGATATGCTACTTTTTGGTCTTACACTGTTGTGAAGTGGCACAAAAAATGTACTATCCAATTATTTATTATCAAAAATACAGCAATTAATTTCTAATCATTTTCCTTTCCCTAATAATATTTTGTAATATAACTATTGACGTTGTTTTTTTACCCACCCAGAATCCCTATTATCTTCCTTTCCTGCAAAATAGATAATATTAATAGAAAAAATGGCATATTTTTAATTAAAAAAATATTTTATCCTGTATTCATTGCCTAATGTAAATTATTTTGTAATTATAATTTACTTTAGAAATAGAAACGTAGATGAACGTATTATGTACGTCTGTCTTATCAACAGTGTATTGAGGATAACTGTTTACAAGCAATGGAAAACTACCAGAACTTAATATAGCTCAATCTACCACAATCAACCAAACTTCAAACCGTTTGCGTAAACAATATTTTGATGTACAAAAAATAGTTGGTTTACTATATCTTAATGGAGAAATTATTTACTTTAACGATTAAATTCTTTAGAAAGATAAATTAATGTTCAAAGCTGCGCAATTTTTTATTATATTTGTTCTTAAAAGTAGGTATAATTACCTTTAAAAACGACGAATACGATTAAAGTATATTTTAAAAAAACTTCAAGGTTATTTTAGAAATACTGAAAAAATCCCAAGCAGATTAGTACTTACGAATTACTATTCATTATAGCTGGCATGGCTTCGTCACAATTACTAGAACTTTCAGTACTTGAATCCAAAGTAAACGCCTGAGAGGCACTAATAAACATAATTAAGTTGCGAAGAAGATTAATTCACTAACACTTTCTTATCAAAGAATTGCTGAACTATTTTCTGGTTCACAGCACGGGTTCTTTCATCACCCCCTGATAACAAGAATATGACCATTTTTAATGACAGCGACAAATCATAGGCTTTTGTTTGATTTAGGCACATTTTCGTGTATAATAGCAACGTCATCACTTTCAAATCTAATTAAATATTTGGAAAAATAATAATTTGTTATGTTTGATTAATAATATTATACAATAGTAAAATAATATAATAAAAGAGGATAGCCTTTTTTAAATAGAAATTATTGAAATACATGTTTAAAGATATAGAATTTTATGTTAAAGTTGGTACCACTTACCGGAAATTCAAAATTTAGTTGTTCACGCAAATAGTGAGTTAGTGAACTAGATACAGCCATCTATCGTTAGGTAGACTCAATTCGTAAAATTCTCTAGAAGAATTTTAAATTCGGAAACCTTTCAGGAATATAGTTTTGGTTATATAAATTCTGGAGTAGATGGCGAAACGGTGCCCCAAAAATATTTATTTATACATTTTTAACAAAAAACGTGGATAAAATTTCGTCCGTTGGATCGGGTCGAAAATATTAAAATCCCGAACGGGCGGGGTTAAAGAAGATTACATGTAATTGGTCACTGAAATTTGATTAGGAAACAAAAAAGCTTAGGTGTTATTGTTTAAATTTGTTTCAATTACTTTCATCTATTTCGTAGTAAGTTAATATTTTGGCAATAGACTAATTCCATTGTTTTTTTATATAAAATTCTACTGCGGTCAGGAAATTATCCTTATTCAATTCCATTTTTATATCATAATTAAATTACTCTAATAAAGTATACTTTACCTAGGTATTTTAATATTCAATTAGGTATTTTAATATTCAATATTAACATTTTTATTCGAATAATTCTACCTTCGCTTTAAATGTTCTATATATTTTTTTGTAAATCATTCAGATTTCATGATTTCAATGTATTACTGCGTTAATTTAATCATTTATGATGGTATATTAACTAAACATTTATGTTATTTACGTTTCTTTTACATTAATCTGTAACCCCGCCCGTTCGGGATTTTAATGTTTTCGACCCGATCCCACGTACGGGAGGGATTTTATCCACGTCCTATTTTTAATGCCTCGTAAAAACAAAATCTGATGTGTGCAACACTTGACTTTCCTGTCTAGTTCTGTTTCTGTAACGTGTGGAGGGTTGGTTAACCCACGACACTTAGGCCTCAGTAGGCCCCTTATTGTGCATTCATCCTTAGTAGATAGGTATGCACATAGGATATGCACCTCCTAGCTCGTGAGCCAGCCTACAGATTTAATGTAGTTAACAACGTCGCCAAGAGGTGCTTCTTTTATATCGGCCGGTGTTAGCCGATAATAAATGAGAGCGTTGAGCAATCGTAGAGGATATGCTCGATGGTCTCATCTTCTTGTTCGCATCCCTTGCAGAGTGCAGATTATGCCAGCCTCATGATATGGAGATGCTTCCGAAGTTAGCAATGTCCAGTCAGAATGCATGTGATCAGGCTCAGATTCTGAGTCATAGTCAAGTATATTTGTTTGCGATAGTGTTGTCAGGATAACTTAAAAGCTTCCTGACGAGGAAATGTTCTTTAATTTGGTTTGTCACTACCGATGTTGTCAGTCAGATAGGGGGGCCAGGTCCAGAAAGTATTTTGGTTGACTGCCTTCGTGGCAAGTCAATCAGGAAGACGATTACCTTTCGATGTGGTGTGACCTTTGATCCATCTTAAGTAGATCACATTGTTGATGGATACTTCGGCTAAAGCTTCATGACTTAGTGTTAACCCTGAATAAAAATTCGTGGTCTGTCCAGGGTGAGTAGCGCTTGTCTGCTATCTGTATAGATGAGCATGTTTCTTGCAGTGATATTATTTCTGGTGATTTATTTTCCTGCTATGATAATTCCCGTGAGTTCGGTTTAAACTACTGCTCACACAGCTCATTTGATGTTTAGGTTCAAGGATCTGGAGTATATTTCACGTCCTGAGCCTTTTGTTTTGTTTTAGATCAATCGGTGTAGATATGAATCGTACCTGCCAATTCCGGCTCTTCTATTATTTGTTCTATTATCCTACTAATCCTACAAATATTTAAATGCGAAAGTTGGATGGATGGATGGATGCAGTGGCGGCTCGTGGACACTAGCGGCAGTGGGGCACACTGGAAAGGAATCCCGGGATTCGTTTTTCCCTTAGGAAAACAAGTTCTCCGCTTAATGAAAATTAAATATATTTCAAAACAATCAGTTGGGGCAATAACGATTTCTGAATGTGACTACAGGGAGCTAAATGTGACCACTCAAAATGCATTTAACCATGTCTGTGGCTATTTAATCAAAAAATCATTATATATCCACTCTTGCGAAATTTGCGTAAATTTCTCAGAAGAATGCAATTTACTTAACAATTCTAACTTGTTAACGCATTTTAAAGCATACGACTCTGAAGAAAAGGTGTTTGGCAATTTAAAATCTCCTAGTCGAAAAATGTCTCTTATATTTTCAAATTAGAAAAAATATTTATATCTCTATTTGATATAGTTTGTCAACTAAGCCTGGAATTTCCAACGCATACCTTTTTGAGATGAGCAAAATAGAATTTGGTCACCCAAGTAACATTTTAATCTGCATAGTTTGCTGCAAACCAATAATAAAAGGTCATATAAAACACAGTTTTGGGACGCATTTATGCAGGTGACGTGATCTGCAAAACATTTTTATATGGCCTATATTTTACATACCACAGTTTGTTTATTACTTCTATGAAGGTTTAATGCAGACCTGTATTACTTCTGCATAATACCTTTAGTTGGTAGGTAATACCCTGCAATGCATATAATTTATCAGTCATACATAGTTTACTTTGGATGTATTATGCAGATCATGTGTAAGTAAAATTAAGATCTCTTAATTTGTTGTTATGCAGATAATGTGCAGGAACAAATATGTATTAATAAAAATAATGTGCACATTTTTTTCAATTGATTGAATTTATATATAATTCTATATCATTTTTATAATTAATTTAATTATTAATTTCATTTATAACTTAGTAGCGCGATACAATTTTAACCTATTTTTTTTTTTTGTTTTAACTTACCTTTAATAGGATTCGAACCTGCAACCAAGGTGTTTGAAATCTCTGGAACAGACGCCTTAACCAACTGAGCTACGACAACTTCTGTTAAATACTTTCGCTATTGTAAATTTAAGGTATAAATGTCAAATTAATATTAAATCTGGTTTTAATTAGGTAAGTAAATAAAATAATTTTTAAATTTAATGATAAAAGTACTTAATATTTCTTTACATGCAAAGAAATAAATAATTTTGCCTTCCTATTTACTTTTCGAACTGAATAACAATTTCTTGTAAGGCCTCTGCATATCAACATGTCAAACACTTGCAAAAGTACTGCAAATGATCTGCAATTGCAAATTTAATGTCTTGTAACCTAACCTTCAAAATGATCACGTGCGCGTGAAAGAAACTCGTGCAGATTGTTTATTTTGACTACAAAAAAATTTAATATGGAACTAACTGGAAAATACTGCATTATTCAGGAAAACAAAGGGAAAAATCAATCAATATTAAGTGTTGTACCCACTAAATGGATAAAGTTAAAAGAGTGGAGTGATGGAAGTGACTTACTTTATTGGCCGCATAAAACAAACATTCATTTAACAAAATTGATGAAAGCAAGTCCAGATATAAAACCAAATGAAGATTTTATTCTTCTTAAATGTAGGTTGAAAAAAGCAGGGTTCAAAACATTTTATGAAGTAAGTAGTTGTTATTGTTGTAAAATTAACCTAGCATGTACAACTTCAAAATACACAGCACATAGCACATAGATCAGTAATGTTAATAATAGTATCTAATAATAATAATAATAATAATAATAATAAAGTGATTTATTGCGCCGTGACAAAAGGCTATTGAACGAGGCTCTTCGCCCTTCATTAAGGTTATTTTTCAAGAATTTTTTTCTACGGGGACGAGATACATTCTTCCACAAGAATATTTTAAAGTACTTTTCCTACGACCACTTAGGAAAGTGAAACATATCACACTATATAATATAGTCCTATCGAAAGTGCCCTATATCACACGCGTATGAATAAAAATTTACTTTCTACCCATGTGCGAATACCTATATGCTACTTTCCGCACAGCTGCATCAAAATGTCAAACACATCATTTTTATTTTAATCTATGTAATGTCCATATTAATAGTAAAACCGATATGATTGTTAAATTATTAAAATTAGATCCTAGATATTTATCTTTAACAATTATTATATTATTAAAACAATTTTAAAATAACTAGGTACATTATGTTTGCTTTTTATTCTGGTTAAACACATAACCGATTAGAAATTCACTTGACGTAAGGCCTGTTAGCTCAGGTGGTAGAGTATCAAACTTTATCAACTTTGCCATTTGAGACGTGGCGGGCTCACGCGATCAAATCCTGGCGGAGGAAGATAATTTTTTTGTTCGTATTTTTATTTTATTTTTTTTGTTTTTTTGTTTTTTTTTTGTTTAAAAAAATATGATAATTATTGATTATTTTTTTTAAATACATTTTATTTATTATAATATAAACCTGGTTTTACATTTTTTGATGAAATTATTTTGTGGTCGTAGGAAAAATATTGTACATCACTTTTGTGTGAAAAGTGGTTTTTCACACTCGTAATAAAATATACTATATAGTATTACTACAGAATATACAGGGCTTTCATTTTTTTTAATTTTTAATTAATCTTAGTTTATATTGGGATTCCCAAAGAAAATCTAAATTAAGCTATAGTCTGTTTAATTTTAACAGTATATAATTTGTTAAAAGTTCATAATAAATTGCTTATATTTTACTTGACATTTTTAATTTTAGGCAGATAATGTTTTGGAGAATATGTTACAACAAAGTGAATCGGAACCTGACGACAGATCTCTGGTATATAATAAAAAAAAGAATAATAAATCACATAACTTAGATGATCAGTTTTTAAATCTAAGAGATAAACTACTTCCAGATATCCCTTCTAGAAATTCAAGTCCCGAATCTATTAACATTACAGCACAAGGAATCGTAGAATCAAATTTTTCTGAGATACAAAAAGAAAATGAAGGAGAACTTCTGTTTAGTGGTGATGTAAGTCAGTTAATTTTTCCAACAGAT